CTTAGATATTGGCTACCTAAAATAGAGGGGGTATAAAGACATGAAGTGGCTGGCTTACAAGTTTTCAAACAGGAGTTTAGTTTAAGAGTATGCAGGGAAAGATAGAATCCCCACTGAATAGTTTTCATCTTGTCTAGATGGGTCTGGTGAAAGGAGATAGGGATAGGATTCTTATGCTTCAACAGTGAATAATTGTTATCCTTACTGTCACTGTCATAACTGTAAAGGCAGTAGTTTTGTAATAAAAAGACGGGTGTAGTTAATCTTACAGTCCAGGAACAGAGGACAATAGGACCATCAAGGGAGAAGTGCCATGAGTGGAATGTAGGAACCTATTCAGGGAAGCAGCAGACACCAGAGATGTATGACATCAAGAAATAGAGCAGGTGAGGACTCTAGATTCATGAAAAGGGAAAGGCTGTGTGATGGTGGCCAGTAGGCAGGCTTGCAGAATATGCCCTTGGGTTTTAAATGAGTATATATTCCTGAGTGTTTTTGTGTACATTAAAAAAACAAAACAGGGAGAACAAACAAGATGGTGGATCGGGTGGAAGTGCAGTAAAGCAGATCCGCCAGCAACAACACAGAATACCGGAACAAGCAGGCTCAGGGGATGGTCCCAGAACTCTGAACCACATATAAACGAATACTTAGAAGGTTAGAAGGCTTACAACTGGTGGAATTTGTGGCAGAAGCAAGAAATCGAATGCTTTCTAATTCGAGATGCTCAGCTGCTCAAGAAGCCACCATCTTGGGTAACACCAAGCGGGGGAAGGATCGGAGCGGCCACACACAACTGGCAGAACCGCAGAGATAAAGGTATGGACATTCTTCTCTTTTGGTAGCTGTTCATTGGTCCCTTGCTGTCTGCGCACCTCCATTCTGGTGACTATAGGGGTGCCTGAGCTAGTGAGCACCCCAGCCCCACCCTCGGAGGGTTCTATAACGCATGCACACAGATCTCCTTGAAATTTAAAGAGACAGTTTCCAATTAGAACCAATTGGCCACAGCCGGCCCTAAACTGCTTACAACTAGAAAAAAGGCCACAGGACAGTTCTCTGCCCTAGCTTAAAATCTCAAGGCGTGTAGCAGGCAGGGGAAAAAAAGTTTAACCAGGGCGAAGAGAGCAACAGAAATACAGTGACTCTCGGACTTCGCCAGAAGCCGACTCCACCCAGCAGCCTGAGCGGCTTTTTGGAATTTGAACTTTCACCAGCCACTGCGGGCAGTGACTGCCCTGTCCCCTGTAGAGCTTTGAGAGCGGGGCCAGAGCCAGCCCAAACTAAGAATCTCAAGCGGACAAAAGCCACAGGAGAGTTCTCTGCCCTAGCTTCAAATCTCAAGGCGTGTAGCAGGCAGGAAAAAAAAAAGTTTATCCAGGGCACAGAGAGCAACAGAAATACGGTGATTCTCAGAGGTCATCAGGCGCCTATCTCCTGATTGTAGCAATAATAATTACAACAAAAATAAGAATAATCATGGCCAACAAGAAACAATTAACATTATCGAAGCATCTCCAAAAGCAGAAAAAGGCAGCAGATACAAATGAGCTGGAGACAGACAAAGATATTATAGAGTAGACACTGGAGAGGGAGAGAAAGGAATAGTCAGAAACACCACACTAGAAGGCTTATAAGTTAGTCTTCTGCCTATGACTGATTGGAATACCTAAAATGGGGCTACAGCGTACCCAGTGAACGAGGCTTCTTGCAGAGCCTTTGCAATACATAAAACTATAGGTAGAAATCAGAACCACATGCAGATCTCCAGAGATGAGAAATCTCCACTTGAAAGGATGAGCAGACCAGCCTAGAGCGGCCAAAAGAATAAAAGATACCTCTTGAAAGAAAGACCTCCAGGAAAAATGGAGGCAGATGGGCTGTTAGTACAAGAACAAACAAATCGCTTCCCTAGGAAACATCAAGGCAAGTGGCCAGGTCCTCTCAACGCAAACCCCCTTCCGAGACTAAGACTCAATGGAAATGCACACTCTGATTGGTGACCACACACATCACCGATGGTGGGAAGTGGGGTACAAGCAGCAATGAAGCGGCAAACTAAGCCCTACAATGTTCAGTGGACTTCTGTGGACCCAGTTGGGAACCTGGTTGGCAAGCAGTGTGAAGAGGCCTGGGGACTCTTGGGCCCAGAATCAGTGGCATGGCCACAGAGGACCTGAGAGGAGAGTCTGACGGGAAGAGAGGGCATATGCACAGGAGCACCCACACTTGCAGATGATACCCAC